GGATCCTGTGTTCCGCACGGGGGCTCCACCAGGGCAGGGATGGTGGCGAGGGTCGCTCGTGGGTCCCCTTGCGAGGAGCAGGGTCTGGCACTAGGCGTCTGGGAACCCTGAAATCCTTGGAGGAGTAGCATCATCATGACCCTCTGTGTTCCTTTTGGCAAAGGACTTGCTTCCATTGTTTGTTTGTTCAATTGTCTGTTAAATAAATAAATAAACCCTTTTTCATATATCTTTAAAATTACATTGGTTCTATTATTTTATGATTACAAATAATGCTGCAGTCATCATTCTTGTACACTTCTCATTGCCCACTGGTATATTTCTATAGGGTGGAGGCCTAGAGAGCAGTTGTTCCAGCATACTGTTTACACAGCTTTTATTTCATTCCATTTTCTTTCCTTCTTGCTTTATTAGCTATAACCCTTTTCTTATTTCAGTGGCTGCTTTAGGGTTTCTGGGATACATCTTTAATTTCTCACAGTCTGCTTTCAAGTGTCATTATACCTCCCCTTCTGGCCTTTATCCTAGTATTATGTATTTTTACTTTATGCATTATAAGCTTTGGGATTCATTATTATTACTTCTATTTATTACATCAAATATTTTTAAAAAGATTTAAATTATAAGAAAACGTGTAGTACATGCTTTCTAAATGCCATTTCCAATATTGGTTTCTTTGTATAGGTCCACAATTTTATCAAGGATCCTTTTGCTTCTGCCTGGAGGACTCTTAAGATTTCTTGTAGCGTGGTTTGGTGAATTCTTTTAGCTTTTGTATGTTTTTCAATGTCCTTATTTCACTCACAGTTTTGAAATTTTATTTTTGCATAGAATTCTGGGTTAACTTTTTTTGTCTAGGTACTTTTAAAATGTTGCCATTTGTGAAGCATTGTCATTTAAAATATCATCTTTCTTTCCTGTGTTTGTAAATATGGCATAAAGCCGGTTTCTTGTGCTGGTTATATAATTTTCAGAATGTGTATTTAAATTTAAAATATTAAATTTTACTAAAAAACTAAAAATAATAATCATGAATGTCGTTAATTCATCTTAAGTTCCGCTAACAGTGCGCTTAAAATGTGCCCAACCTGAGGGTCAAAGCTACCTGCTGACGTGTAATTTATGTTTGTGAGACATTCTCAACAGCATTTGCTTTCCCCAGCCGAGTGATTTTCCTCACATCTGAATGTCTTCAGTGCAAAAGGAAACGTTTTTCTTTGCAAAAATACTTTAAAATATTCTTACTTCAAGTAGGTGCATTAAAAACAAACTTCTCAATTGCACCCCTGGAATCCATCGAAGATTGATTGTCTCCCAGGAGAGAAAATCAAGTGCTTCAGGATCAAGAGGTAAACAGGGGAGGACAAAGCGTGACTTCTTCACTAGGAGTCAAGCCAAAGTCAACTGATTTGGTGTCCAATAGAGACCAGAACTCGGTTCACCAGCGACGTGAAGACCTGACCCAGACGAAGCGGACTTTCTCTTCGTGGTGCTTTCCGATAGGAAATCTCCTAGGATTTCTTTCTTTCCCTTTGATCTACTCCCAACTCTCCTTTTCTATTTCTTCAAACCTTTTTCGGATCCCTACTGAGAAGGAACTAAGGGGCCACTGCCCTTCCCTACCGGTCCCTCCCTGGCTGGGTATCTTCGAAGCCCAGGCTCACCGGGAACGTTACTGCCCGCCGGAGATAGCGAGAGGACCAAGGAGGGCGGCGGGTGAGGTGGGAACCACAGAGTCACCTCGCACCTGCGCCTCATGGGCTCCTAGCAAATTGAATAAATGCCCCCTGAAGCTTCTCTGCAGGTCACAGGGAAGGGGAGGGTGGCTGCTAACCCGCTGGAGAAGCTTCAAGAAGCATCGGGAGGACCTGGCCCTGCCCCTGCGCCTTGAAGACAGGCCTGACCAGGCTGATTTTGACGAGTGGGCCAAAGAAAAGGTTCAAGGGCGGCCCAAACCTGACCCCGAGATTAAGGCTCTTAAATGTCTGACGGTTTTGAGCCTTGTCATTAGAATCAATCTCGCCTGTATCAGGAGACTCCTTTGCCAAAATTCAGAGACCAAGAAAGAGAAAGATTGGGCAGATCAAAGTCTGTAATTAACCAAACAGGAAACAGAATTTTTCTGAAAAATAGTATGTGTGCTATGAGAAAAAGACTAGCCTCAAGGAGAATCTGTTTTTTTGACTTGAGTGTAGGGAAGAATGGCGTTGTCACCAACAATAGTGCTTTGAAACGGCAGGTGCATCAGGCTGTAGATGTGAAGGAATTAAAAATATTTTACCCCCAAGTACATTTCTTTGACATATTTTGAGATGTCTGTTCAGAGAGCCAGCTGCAGAAGTAGCCCTGCAAAGTTGTCTTTTGTTGGGGAGATTTGCGTCTGTAGGGAATCTGCATTGATGCAGCCAAGTCTTTCCTTGCCCAGATCTAGGAAAGATGAACTGAAAGTCTGACACCTGTAAAGGTCTGAAAGAAACTTTTAGGGTTTATTCTCTCTGAGCGCTGCTACCTGTAAGGTTTCATTTACATATTAAGACCAACTTTGCTAGCCAAGCCTCCTCTTCTCTCCCTCCCATAACCTGTCTTGCCCACAATAAATGGATATACCTCTGACTCTGATGGTACCTGGTTTTGGCCATGCTTTGAGCCCTCATTCATTCTGTTACCTCGAGATGTTATATAAGCTTATGCATCCCATTGTGGATAGGGTAGGGTAATCTCCCTGTGGCCCTCCCCATGTACATGTCAGTACATTTTATGCCTTTTCTCCAGTTAATCTGCCTTTTGTGACTTGATTTTTGAGTGAAATTTCAGAGGGTTAAGAGGGAGGGATTCCACTGACCCCTACAGTTTTGGAGCTGTAAGCAGGATAGCAAAGCTCTGCTCTTCTGGAAGCTGCAGTAAAGAACCCAGGATCTGATCGGTTGTCATAAGGGTAAGAACTTTTTACCAGCCAGGCTCCCAGCCTCCTTCTCTATGTGGAATCTGATCAAGTGGACAGGAAAAATCACTGTTTCTTTTCCCTCTCCAAAATCTTGATTAATGGGAGAAAAGGATTTGTGTGACTAGTCTTGGGTATAGTGACTCTGGTGTGCTTTTTGGTACTTTGTGGTACCAATTCATATTGTTTAATCCCTTTCTTCCCAGAAATTGTCTGTTCCTTTGTCTTTGTCTCTATGTGTTATTCTGTCATAAAAGAGGGTACTGGTTGAGGTTCTTTCTCATCTTATTTGATGTCCTTGAGAGCTTGACTTGTGACCAAGTGGGAGCTCTTTCTCTTGGTTTTCGGTATGTGGTAAGAGGTGGTAATTTTCAAGTCATAGTAGGTGGCCTGTCTGAAAATGGCTGAGAACCTGAGCACACTTTTTGTTCTGACTATGTCAAGTTCTTGGGGTGTCTTAAGAAATCCCATCCCTTTGAGGCTTTTGTCGTCTCAACTCTTGTTGCCTGATTAGTCCTAGGAAAGCTCAATCTCAAGAGGGCCTACATGGTATCACAGACTCACAGGTCTGTGACTGGAAGCCCCCCAAAATTTGTGGGTTACTGGAGGCAAACATCACTCTTAACCATCTGTGGCCTACTCCTTACATTGAACTTTTTTCTTGGAGGGCAATCTTTGGGATTGCCTCTTGTATGACCTTCCCAGGAAGTTAACCTGGAAAATGACATCCTGGGCTTTCCACAAAGAGGCTATTTGGTTGAATTTCTATTGGAATAATTACACCATTGGATATTCTAGTTGCCAGTGGACTGAATTAAAAAAGAAAAAAAGATTTTAGAGATCTCTTATTTTAAACAATTGATAGGAAGATCAGATTAAAGGAAAGGAACATACTAGTGTCATGGCTAACCTTAAAAATTCTCTTGACAATATTATCTGTGTTGTGTAGGGAAAAAAATTCTCTTGACTAAATTGAAGAGCAAAATTTGACCCAAAACAAAGTTAAAATTCTTCATAAGCTCAAACTGCCTGCTCTGGATCCCTTCCAGGATTCACAATAAAGTCTGCACTACTTTGCCGTTCAGTAGTTAAAGTTCTGTGCTTTTGCTGCCATAGCCTGGGTTCAATTTCCAGCCAGGGAACCAGTTTATTTTGGCTTGATATTTGTGTAGCTTTTGACTTTCTGGAATACCCATTTATTGATCCTTTTCCCTTTCATGGGCAGCTTTTGTTTATTCACTTGTTTGTTTGTTTATTAAGACAGAGTCTCACTCTATCACCCAGGCTGGAGTGCAGTGGTGCCATCTCGGCTCACTGCAACCTCTGCCTCCAGGTTCAAGTGATTCTCCCACCTCAGTCTCTCAGGTAGCTGGGATTACAGTCACCCACCACCATGCATGGCTAATTTTTATATTTTTAGTAGAGACAGGGTTTTGCCATATTGGCCATGCTGGTCTTGAGCTCCTGACCTCAAGTGATTCGCCTGCCTCGGCCTCCCAAAGTGTTGGGATTATAGACATGAGCCACCACTCCTGGCTGTTAGCAGCTTTTGATTTCCTGTCCTTCCAGCTTCTAAAGTTTCTGATGAGAAACCTGTTGATAATCTTATTAAAGATTTCTTGCATGTGACCAGTTGCTTTTCTCTTACCGATTTAAAGATTCTCTGTTTTTGACTTTTGAAAGTTTGATTATAATGTGTTTTGGTGTAGGTCTCTTTAAGTTTTTCTTACTTGGGGTTTGTTAGGCTACTGTGTTTGTATTCATGTCTTTCATCAAATTTGGGAAGTTTTCAGCCATTGTTTCTTCAAATATTCTCTCTTGCCCTTCTCTCCCTCTTCCTTAGAAATTCCACAATGCAAGGCTGGGTGCGGTGGCTCATGCCTGTAATCCCAGTATTTTGGGAGGTCGAAGCGGGAGGATGACCTGAGGTCAGGAGTTTGAGACCAGCCTGACCAACATGGAGAAACCCTGCCTCTACTAAAATTACAAAATTAACCAGGTGTGATGGTGCATGCCTGCAATCCCAGCTACTTGGGAGGCTGAGGTGGGAGAATCACTTGAACCCAGGAGGCAGAGGTTGCTGTGAGCCGAGATCGCACTATTGCATTCCAGTCTGGCAGCAAGAGCGAAACTCCATCCCCTAACCCCCCCAAAAAAAACGACAACAACAACAAAGAAATTCCACAATGCATATGTTGGTCCACTTGATGGTCACTTAGGCTTTGTTCATTTTTCTTCAATCATTTTTTATTTCTGTTCCTCAAACTGGATGATTTCCATTGCCTTATCTTTGGGTTCACTGATTGTTTCTTCTGCCTGCTCAGATTTCTTCAAATTTGACTTTGAATCCCTCTAGTTAATTTTTTATTTCACTTATTTTACTTTTCAGATCCAGCACTTCTTTTTCTTTCTTTTTTGATTTTTTATCCTTTATTTATATTTCATTTTGTTCATGTATCATTTTCTTGTCTTCTACTACATCTTCCTTTAGTTCTTTGGGCACCTTTAAGACAGCTCTTTTAAAGTCTGCCAAGTAGAACTTCCGGCAGGATTTTTTTTTTTTTTCCTTTAATTATCTATTAGTTTTCTTTCCATTTTTTCCCCCCATGACCTAATCTTAAATTGACTATCAGGCATTTTTCAGTAAAAGTTTCTGTTGGTTCATTTTTAATTTTTATTTATTTTTATTGTTGTTGTTGAAAACTGGACATTTGAATCTACTAGTGTAACTCTAGAAATTAGATTCTCCCCCTTCCTCAGGGTTTGCTTTTTTTGTTGTTGTTATTGTTTTGTTTTTTGATTATTGTACGTTGTCTCTATGCCAAGGATCAGCCTAAGGTATAAAGTTGTGGTCTTCACAGATGTTTTCTGAGGCTGAACCTTTCCCTGGTGTGTGGTGATTCCCTCATTTTACCTCTATATGCAGTTATTCTTGATTATTTTATCCTTTAACGTCTGACTCCCAAAAGGGGAAAAAGAGGAAAATTGAGGGAGGGTGAAAAAAGGGAACCATCCCTTTAAACTTTCTGGAAGTTGCTTCAGCTTAGGGTGAAGAACTTGCTACAACGGGGGGAGGTACAACAGTAGCTTCCAGCCTCTTTGTCTCTGTGCTGCAGTCAGCCATTAGAGAACAGAGCCCCAGTGTGTGTGTGTGTGTGTGTGTGTGTGTGTGTGTGTGTGTGTGTGTGT